GATTAAAGCTACCAGGGTCAAGCCCCTTATGCTCCTATAGCATGTCATGCTGCTACAGACTTACGCCCAAAAAATCCCATGCTCCCCAACTAGCCTCAGAGCGTATAGTTAAAGTTGCGTGGCTCGCACTCAGCCAAAGCTGTCAAGGCAAATGAATCATCACCGGCCAACCGACCCCCATGATTGATCATGGAACACCTGCAGCACTGGACAGGTTCACCTCAGAGTATATTAAAGTTGGTCGTACCATCACCTGCCGAAGCAATCACTGTCAAGCTAGTCATCACAGACCCGTCGAGAACAAACAACAATACACAAGCAAAACGTGGAACGGCTTCAAAACACGACCAAGCACCAGCAAACCAAGTCTTTGCAGTCACAGCACAAGAATCAAGGCAATCGCCACAACTTCCATTTCCAACCACCACCGTGTCCAGTGATTAAAGCTACCAGGGTCAAGCCCCTTATGCTCCTATAGCATGTCACGCCCAAAAATTCCATGCTCCCCAACTAGCCTCAGAGCGTATAGATAAAGTTGCGTGGCTCGCACTCAGCCAAAGCTGTCAAGGCAAATGAATCATCACCGGCCAAGCGACCCCCATGATTGATCATGGAACACCTGCAGCACTGGACAGGTTCACCTCAGAGTATATTAAAGTTGGTCGTACCATCACCTGCCGAAGCAATCACTGTCAAGCTTGTCATCACAGACCCGTCAAGAACAAACAACAATACACAAGAAAAATATGGAACGGTTTCAAAACAAGACCAAGCACCAGCAAACCCAATCTTTGCAGTCACAACACAACAATCAAGGCGATCGCCACAACTTCCATTTCCAACCGCCACTGTGTCCATTGATTGAAGCTACGAGGGTCAAGCCCCTTATGCTCCTATAGCATGTCATGCTGCTACAGACTTACGCCCAAAAATCCCATGCTCCCCAACTAGCCTCAGAGCGTATAGTTAAAGTTGCGTGGCTCGCACTCAGCCAAAGCTGTTAAGGCAAAGGAATCATCACCGGCCAACCGGCCCCCATGATTGATCATGGAACACCTGCAGCACTGCACAGGTTCACCTCAGAGTATATTAAAGTTGGTCGTACCATCACCTGCCGAAGAATCACTGTCAAGCTTGTCATCACAGACCCGTTGAGAACAGACCAAAATACACACAAACAAAACATGGAACGGCTTCAAAACAAGCACCAGTAACCCAATCTTTGCAGTCACAGAACAAGAATCAAGGCTATCGCCACAGCTTCCATATCCATTCGAACGCAACAACTATCTTATCCAACCACAGCTACCCGGCTCAAGCCCCTTATGCTCCTATAGCATGTCATGCTGCTACAGACTTACGCCCAAAAAATCCATGCTCCCCAACTAGCCTCAGAGCGTATAATTAAAGTTGCGTGGCTCGCACTCAGCCAAAGCTGTTAAGGCAAAGGAATCATCACCGGCCAACCGACCCCATGATCATGGAACACCTGCAGCACTGGACAGGTTCACCTCAGAGTATATTAAAGTTGGTCGTACCATCACCTGCCGAAGCAATCAATCACTGTCAAGCTTGTCATCACAGACCCGTCGAGAACAAACAACAATACACAAGCAATACATGGAACGGTTTCAAAACAAGACCAAGCACGAGCAAACCAAATCTTTGCAGTCACGGCACATGGATCCAGGCAATCACCACAACTTCCATATCCAACCACCACTCTGTCCACCGTCTACTGTATCAATCCACAGGGTCAAGCCCCTTATGCTTCTATAGCATGTCATGCTGCTACAGACTTACGCCCAAAAACTCCATGCTCCCCAACTTGCCTCAGAGCGTATAATTAAAGTTGCGTGGCTCGCACTCAGCCAAAGCTGTTAAGGCAAAGGAATCATCACCGGCCAACCGACCCCATGATTGATCATGGAACACCTGCAGCACTGCACAGGTTCACCTCAGAGTATATTAAAGTTGGTCGTACCATCACCTGCCGAAGCAATCACTGTCAAGCTTGTCATCACAGACCCGTCGAGAACAAACAACAATACACAAGAAAAATATGGAACGGTTTCAAACAAGACCAAGCACGAGCAAGCCCAATCTTTGCAGTCATACCACAAGAATCAAGGCAATCGCCACAACTTCCATATCCAACCGCCACTGTCTGCATTGATTAAAGCTACCAGGGTCAAGCCCCTTATGCTTCTATAGCATGTCATGCTGCTACAGACTTACGCCCAAAAACTCCATGCTCCCCAACTTGCCTCAGAGCGTATAATTAAAGTTGCGTGGCTCGCACTCAGCCAAAGCTGTTAAGGCAAATGAATCATCACCGGCCAACCGACCCCCATGATTGATCATGGAACACCTTCGGCACTGCACAGGTTCACCTCAGAGTATATTAAAGTTGGTCGTACCATCACCTGCCGAAGCAATCAATCACTGTCAAGCTTGTCATCACAGACCCATCGAGAACAAACGCAATACATGGAACGGTTTCAAAACAAGACCAAGCACGAGCAAGCCCAATCTTTGCAGTCACAGCACAAGAATCAGGGCGATCGCCACAACTTCCATATCCAACCACCACTGTGTCCATTGATTAAAGCTACCAGGGTCAAGCCCCTTATGCTCCTATAGCATGTCATGCTGCTACAGACTTACGCCCAAAAAATCCATGCTCCGCAACTAGCCTCAGAGCGTATAGTTAAAGTTGCGTGGCTCGCACTCAGCCAAAGCTGTTAAGGCAAAGAAATCATCACCGGCCAACCGACGCCATGATCGTGCAACAAGTGTGGCACAGGACAGGTTCACCTCAGAGTATATTAAAGTTGGTCGTACCATCACCTGCCGAAGCAATCACTGTCAAGCTTGTCATCACAGACCCGTCGAGAACAAACAAGAATACACAAGCAAAACATGGAACGGTTTCAAAACAAGACCAAGCACGAGCAAGCCCAATCTTTGCAGTCATAACACAAAAATCAAGGCAATCGCCACAACTTCCATATCCAACCACCTCTCTGTCCACCGTCTACTGCTACCAGGGTCAAGCCCCTTATGCTCCTATAGCATGTCATGCTGCTACAGACCTACGCCCAAAAAATCCATGCTTCCCAACTTGCCTCAGAGCGTATAGTTAAAGTTGCTTGGCTCGCACTCAGCCAAAGCTGTTAAGGCAAAGAAATCATCACCGGCCAAGCGACACCATGATCGTGCAACACGTGTGGCACAGGACAGGTTCACCTCAGAGTATATTAAAGTTGGTCGTACCATCACCTGCCGAAGCAATCACTGTCAAGCTTGTCATCACAGACCCGTCGAGAACAAACAACAATACACAAGCAAAACATGGAACGGTTTCAACACAAGACCAAGCACCAGCAAGCCAATCTTTGCAGTCATACCACAAAAATCAAGGCAATCGCCACAACTTCCATATCCAACCACCACTGTGTCCATTGATTAAAGCTACCAGGGTCAAGCCCCTTATGCTTCTATAGCATGTCACGGCACAGACTTACGCCCAAAAAATCCATGCTCCCCAACTAGCCTCAGAGCGTATAATTAAAGTTGCTTGGCTCGCACTCAGCCGAAGCTGTTAAGGCAAAGAAATCATCACCGGCCAACCGACCCCATGATTGACCATGGAACACCTGCTGCACTGGACAGGTTCATCTCAGAGTATATTAAAGTTGGTCGTACCATCACCTGCCGAAGCAATCACCGTCAAGCTTGTCATCACAGACCTGTCCATTACAGGCAAACATCCATCAAACACATGCATCTACAAGCCGCTTCCACAACAAGCGCCAGCAGCCAATTCTGCGCGTCGCGATACAATCTGCAAAGCAATCGCCACGACTTTCATATCCAGCCGCCACGGCATCCAACGACTACTGTATCCAACCAGGGCTACCACAAGCTATAGCGCATCTCCTGCTCAGATGCATCCCATGCAGATACTCAGTCTGATGATTCGTTTTGCTGCCAGCGCAAACCCAACTAGTCAGGCCCGTATCAAGTGCTCCAATTAATTATTTTGTGGGGGCAGAGAACAACCAACAAACTGCGACTTACTTCTGGGGACCCTGCTCGGGACCCCGGGCCAGCGAAAAAAGTGCAATGGTCAATGACTGAAAACTGTCTCAGAAGTTGGCTCAAAAGGAGTGTCTTACTTATAAGGGTTTGTGGGTTCTACCCTAAGCGGCCTCAGAGCGTATAATTAAAGTTGCTTGGCTCGCACTCAGCCGAAGCTGTCAAGGCAAAGGAATCATCACCGGCCAACCGACGACATGATCGTGGAGCAAGTGTGGCACAGGACAGGCTCACCTCAGAGTATATTAAAGTTAGTCGTACCGTCACCTGCTGAAGCAATCACTGTCAAGCTTGTCATCACAGACCCGTCGAGAACAAAAAAACATACAAAGAGAACAAAATATGAAACGGTTTCAATCCAAGCACCAGTAACTCACTCTTTGCATGTCGCAAGACACGAATCAAGGCAAACGCCACAACTTCCATATCCGGGCCACCACTGTGTCCAACGACTAGTGTATCAAGCCACTGCTACGTGGAAGCCCTTCTAGTGCCCAAAGGGCATCTCGTGCTGCCACAGCTCATGCCAAAGCAATACACAGCGCAACTCGCCTCAGAGCGTATAATTAAAGTTGCTTGGCTCGCACTCAGCCGAAGCTGTCAAGGCAAAGGAATCATCACCGGCCAACTGACCCCCATGATCATGGAACACCTATGGCACTGGCCACGGTTCACCTCAGAGTATATCAAAGAGAACCAACAAACCAACCTGAGAAAACAGAAGGGAAGGGTTTCAAAGCAAGCGCCAGTAGCCAAATCTTTGCTGTGGCAATACAAATTTCATATCCAGCCGGCATTAAACGCAACAACTGCTCCCCAGCTGGCCTTAGAGCGCGTAACTCAAGTTGCGTGGCTCGCGCTGAGCCGAAAGCTGTCAAGTCGTCCAGGCAAAGGAATCATCACCGGGCACACGACCCGCAGGCCTTACCATGAAAAAATCTGACTCGCGTCCCTGCAGTCAAGCAAAAGGTATCATCACTGGGCCACCCCGTATGGGACAACATCGCCAACTTGGAGTTTCAACAACAACCACCTCACAACAGCAATGTCAAAAAACCAGCAGCCATGCAAAATTGTCTGCTGTAAGGCACACTGCACAGACTCAAGCAACAGTCACTGCAACTACTGGCTCCAGCCATGTTGCCTCAGGGTTTAATTAAAACATTCTGACTCGCATCCAGCGCCTGCCGTCAAGCAAAAGGCATCATCATAGGGCAACTCCCTGCATGTGGCAGCATCGCCAACTTGAAGTCTCAACAACAACCAGCTCGCCACAGCTCTGTCCAACAACCAGCAGCAATGCAACATGATTTGCTGAAAGGGACGCTGCACAGACTCAAGCGAGGTATTCTCTCCATCAGCCATGTCTGTGCTGCAACTACTGATCCTTCCTCTACCCATGTTGCCTCAGGGTTTAATTAAAACATTCTGACTCGCATGCAGCGCCTGCTGTCAAGCAAAAGGCATCATCATTGTGCAACTCCCTGCATGTGGCAGCATCACAACTTATAGCTTCAACAACAACCACCACCTCGCCACAGCCCAGTCCAACAACCAGCAGCAATGCAACATGATTTGCTGTAAGGGACGTTGCACAGACTCAAGCCAGGTATTCTCTACATCAGCCATGTCTCTGCTGCAACTACTGATCCTTCCTCTCACCCATGTTGCCTCAGGGTTTAATTAAAACATTCTGACTCGCATCCAGCGCTTGCTGTCAAGCAAAAGGCATCATCATTGGGCAACTCCCTGCATGTGGCAGCATCGCCACAACTTATAGCTTCAACGACAACCACCAGCTCGCCACAGCTCTGTCTAACAACCAGCAGCCATGCAAAATCACTTGCCGTAAGGCACACTGCACAGACTCAAGCAAGAGCAGCAAGAGGGTATCTTCCACGTCCGCCATGTGTCACTGCTTACGTTGCCTCAGGGTTTAATT